TAATTAAATTTATATAATAATAAAAAGATTGTGAAAAGTGAATAAAAAATAGTTTTTAAAAACATTATATTTGAATCACAAATATAACATATATATATATATATATCTTCATTATGTCATACAGAAACCAATGAAATGATTCTATACTGAGAGCATAAACTCGCAAGTGTTTAACTTTTATTAATGTTGTCATTTCAGAACTTATTTTTTAATGACGCCCAGATCAATTTTTATGTTTAAGTAATGTGAAATATGTAATATAGTTTTTGCTTGAAACAGCCATGCCTGCTTGGTGATACATTATTGCCTTTTTCCTCTGTTTGCATCAAGTCCAATAACATCTTCTAGAATGTTGTTGCTTTTAAATCTGCTATTGCTATTTCTGAGCATTTAAGTTCCCATGTTTTCTTTCAGCCCTGATCTCAAACTTTTAAAAGATGTGATACAGAATTACTGGTGACTAGTTTTCTATGCATGCTCCTATAAAATTCTTGAGCCATCTAAAGTATTATTTTATATTCTTGGTGGCGGCTATTATAAATTGTGAAAACAATTTTCCTAGTGATTTTATGAACTAACTCAATTTGAAATCCTAATAGTCTCGTAAATTGACATTTCTAAAGTGGGCTATGGACATAATGTGTTTTCAAAATTGTGCTAAAATAAATGTTTTACTTCTATTATTACATTTACTTGATTGAAATTGTTGAGCTATTTAAAACAATCATGGAGGTTCCAATGTGAAATATATAGGCTTTAGTTGTGGCTAGGGGTAACATGTGACAAGAAAATAAAAAATGTTCCACCACTGATTTCTGCTAAAATAAAAGTTATTGCTCAAATGCCTGTTGAAGTTGGAAGTCGATATGTCGAATGGATTTTTGCAGAACAGCGCATCGTTTTTGAGTAAAACTGAAAATAAGTTAGTGCATAGCGCAATCGAGTTTTATTTTGTTCATTGAAAAATAGTAGATACTGTACTCTTCGAGTGTAGCAAGTTCACCACAGAAGGTATCCTTCCATCTCTCACTCCCTGCCAACGGTATCATCAGCCTTATGTTCACTTTGGATTTATCGTTATAAATTCCTCTGAATCTTTATAAAAAGTGACGACTACCGGCTATAGAGTTAATAATAGAGATAATTAAAAGGCAATTTTCAGCATTCCATAGGGCCCACTTCAAATAGCAAAATTACTTTCGAAACTTTGAAATACCGTGCTCTAATTGGACACTCGATGTAGTTATATCAAATAAATATCTAATATGCAAATCCGAGTTTTAATTAAACAGACCGTGAAGAACATTTAATGCTCATAAAAATATACAAGCCGTGAAAAAACGATTCGTCTCTACTGGGGGTATATTAGTAACACTTTGCACACGAAATATATGTCCACATCATCATATGCAGGTTTAACGTTAATTTAATAGTGGTATATTTCTCACAAATGAATTTTAATGAAATAAAATGGTTAAAAGTCCGAAAAAAATAGGGAAATTAGTTGCAGCTTGTGCACACATACACAGTTCTATTATTTTCCGCTACATGCTAAGCAAAAATAATGTGTTTTCCGCAATTTTCAGCGTTGGCTTATTTACAAGGGCTTTAACGGAAGATTTTCCACTATGAGCTCTAATATTGCATGCCGCCAAAGCTAATGTGCTTTGGGCGTAATATGAAAGTTTTGTATGTCCGGTAAAATTGGAGCTGCTGAACTTACCTGTATGATCATAAATACGGTAATTTTTCATTGAAACATATTATAATTCTTAATGTTTAAGTACCTACCTATTCATGAATCAATTACTCAATTATAGCAGAACAATTGCTTAGTGTTTGCATTTGGGAGTCAATATGTTTTCATTAGAACATTGATAATTTGATCTCTTCCGAAGTTTAAATGAAAAAAGTATGTTCACTTTAAGTCAAAATTAGATTCAAGAAAGTTTGCAAAAGGTTCAGAAGGTTATCTTAATCCGTAATAAAATCACCATAATTGGTTCATATAAAACCACAAAACGCTTCAACGTTTGCGCTGCTCGGAAACTTAGCCTTATTAAGATCACAAAGTGTTTTACGAATTTAGTTCATGCAGTACTGGAGGCGTTAGTTCTAAGTTTAGGATTCGATTAACTAATTATTGTTCTATAAATATCTCTGCAACAGTTTCTAATGTATGAACTGTATTTTTGACTCGGATATTTAAACTTGGCACAATACTAATATCAATTACTTTGTCGTTGCCTTCCATTTTTGTTTGTCGGCCACCCTTATCAGTCGGATACAAGCGAGCAATTTATATCCTTAGATGACTTCAATTGGCAATATGTGAGTTTTTAGTTGTGCAAAATGCACCATTTATAAGTAACTTTAATTCATAAGTAGATGTTCTCTCGAGGATCAAAGTATTGGTGACCCACAGTATGGAAAATTGTGAACTCTAATAAAAATGCTGGTTTGGAATAAAATTGCAAGGGCAAATTCAGAATCTCTTAGTATAATGACTTCAATGTACAAAGCAGTCGCCAAACTTACCCTTGGGGTGCATTTTTATAACCTGTTTAGTATCTTCGCTAGCTTTCCCTTGACTAAAATAATAAACTCTTATGTTTAGCCGTCCTACAAAAGAGTCGAGGAATAAAAAATTGGGTAAATCGTCTAGCCAAGTGTGTAGGTTATATCCCTCAGTCTTTCAGATAGTTCCGTTGTTACTCTTGCGTTTATACGTGTTTGCCCATAAGAGAACAATATAGTTTATGATTTTACGAGTAAAAAAGTTGCAGGACATTTTAGAGGAAACCTTCGATTATCTAATACGTTTCCTCCTTCAGGTTTTAGGTCACCAAACTGTGACGCAAAGGGTGAGGTTGGCAACAGTACTGTTCTCTCTCAAATTGTTAGTGAACTAATTCAGGTGAAAATTAAAGCCTAAACTTACTGTGGATGGTTTAAAATTAATAGCCACGAAAATATAATTTAAAATTAAGTCGAGAATATGGCGTGGTGTTTGTAATGCTAATATGTAGATTATCCATGGCATCGCCCTTTTCTGTAATCTGTCCATCATTGTCTTTACCAAGTCTATTCCGTTTTGTTTATAAGTGTATAAGAGTTGCGACTAAGTAACGAATACATTCGTTAAAATATAGGTCACGGATTTATCAAAAAATCGCCCTTATCTGTCGATTTTTGTTTATTGATTGACACGATTTCGTCGTACAAAAGTATAGGGCTTGAATCAAATAAACAGTAATAAAAAATGTAAATAAATAATTTAAAATTCAAATGTGTGTCAATTTACCAAAAAATAGTTGCTGCTCTACATTTAAGGCAGATATAAGCGGTTTCTCATAGAACTATTTCTAAGTCAAAAAATATTGATTTCGAACTGTTCACTAAATCTCAAAATTGCAAGTTTTCAACGAAATTGTGAATCTGTCTTTTTGAATTGGTTTGAGCTTGAAAGGTAAATCAACTTTTTGCCTACTTCATGTTTCTTCAAATGTGATCAAAATCGGCTGGAACTTGTACTCCTAAAATTAACTAACACTTTGCTCCATAATTCACTTATTCAGACATGCATTAGTGCAATCCCCAGCTTACCTGAGAACCAGAGGAATAATTCTAAATCGACTCATAGTTTGGAAAGTTGGAAGCGTAAAGTAAAATACTGTACAACTGAACGAGATCACTGAAGCGAGTTTTTTAAAACTCTAAAAAGGTTTCCGAAGATTTCTTGGTAGTAAAATCGCTCGCTAGTCGTAAAATAAGACGGATAAAATCATCGTAAATGAAGGCGAGCTTTATCGTATTTCTTCATATGGCGAAATTTTGTAGTTGACCCTCATGCCGTTGAACATAAAAGCTATTTGGTTTAGATGCGGAAAAAAATATATTTATTTTCATATTTCGTTTGGAAAAGATTTGCGATCGTGTCTTTCAGGACTTTAGAAAAAAATCCTTCAGACTTTATTACAGCGAAATGAAACAGTTTGGATATATTTTATATACGTTTATTACTTTTAGGAGCAAATGTTTATGGTAAAAATCTGGAGGGCAGTTTTAGCTTTAAAATGCAGTACTCGACATCTATGGATAACGCAGTATAGTAAATTAATTGATATCTAGATCGATTATACGAGATCAATAACACTAATTAATACACTAAGACAATTTTCCTCTGTTACTTAAAACATCTGAATCCTGAAGTTCATAAATCCAGCTTTTGTCCAAACTTAAAAATTATTTATGGGAAATAATACTGAATCATTTGAAATTTAGCTATTCTAGGATCGGGTGTTAGCAACATTCACATTAGACTATGAAATCTGAAATAAATAATCTAATTAGAAGAGAAGCTATTCTTACCTAATTTGTCAAGCATCTGCTGTTTATCTGTTCGACCGAATTTCAATTTCATTTACTCGAACTGACTGTATGACTACTTATAGTGATCCAAATACGTAACAGCCGGAAATCATTTCGACTATAGACTCGCTTCGGAAAAATTGCAAATTCCAAACATTCAAATGAAGGTCCATTTTTTCGAAGTATACCTTTGTTCTGTCATTTTTAAATTCCATAAATATTCATAGATTTCAGGCCGTGGGGATAAATGGAAGGGCTAATAGAAGAAAAATAATTCAATCTATGGAACAATTATTCGATTTATTTTTTGTATGAATGGTATATGTTGGCGGTTTTACCCCGAAATTTAATGAGTTAGCGCTACTC